CCCCGCATTTGCTGGTTTGAGGTGTCAGAGATCAAGCATTTGTTTTGCTTCCTGGAGGAAAGGAAGATGAGCCCGGGGCTGTGGACTGACCAGGCTCCTATCAGCCACTGGCTCGTGACAACAGAGGAGAGAGGCCACCTCTCGCACCAGGAGGGACCATGCTGCCTTCTCTTCACGGAAAATGTAGCTTCAGGAATCATTATGATGCCATCATTTCTAGGGAGGAGGAAGGAACCTCCGACTTTCCAGCCAAGAAAAGCAAAGCAAAAGGAATGTGTGTATGTGTGTGTGTATACATAGATAGATAGGAATATACATAGGGATAGATATAAATATATATGCATATATAAATGTGTGTCTATGGGTGCATACATAGATATGCATATATGTATATAAATAGATGTGAATAGATATGTGTGTGAATGCATACATATGTAGATGGCTATAAATATGCGTGTATATAAATATATGTATATGTGTGTGAATAGATGGGAACGTGTGTGCATGAGTAGTGAGTGATGCTGCTCATGTTTGTCTGGATATCTCCCCTCTATTTAAAGAAAATTTTGATGGGGAACTCATTCCCAAACCCCAACAGCTGGACCGATAAAAGCGTGCCCTCCACCGTGGTTTTCACGTATGTTTGTATCTTTGATCCTCACTACAACCTCAAGAAGAATTGGCTGGTATTTCCCTTGTTTTTTGGAGCTGAAGATGGATTCTGGGAGATCCTAAGTCACAGCTCTCGTAAGTGGAGGAATAAAAATTTGAAGCAAGGCCGGCAGACTGGGGGGCTGATGTGGTCAGCCGTGGACTATCCCGCACAGAGTCAGGAGCCCAGGAGGCGAACAGAACTGGGTACAAACCCCAGCTGTGCATCCCCAAGCAAGCGTCTTAACCTCTCTGAGCATCTGGTACCCGAGTGTAAATGAAGTGCAGAGATAAGCTGAAATGAGATCAAATACATAGAGCAATAGCCCCTGGCCTGGCCGCTAGCCTCTCACACCATCACGGGCCTGAATGGGCAGCTGGACACCAGGAGCAGAGGCAGGGACCACACAACCAACACGCACACCCGGGTCTCACCCCCAGCACCACTCAGAGACTTGGGATGGAGACAGCTCCTGGCCGTTGACTTGAAAAGACCTCCCTCATCTCTCCTCACCCAGAACCTCACCCCCAAAGTTGTCCTGGGGCAGGTCCCCCCTGGGCAGCCAAAGGCTTTCCCCTCTGTGCTCTGTCGCTGTTTTCCCATAGACTGTTTTCTTTTTTTTTTTTTAAAGATTTTATTTATTTATTTGACAGAGAGAGACACAGCGAGAGAGGGAACACAAGTAGGGGGATTGAGAGAGGGAGAAGCGGGCTTCCTGCCGAACAGGGAGCCCGACGCGGGGCTCGATCCCACGACCCCGAGATCATGACCTGAGCCGAAGGCAGACGCTTAACGACTGAGCCACCCAGGCGCCCCTAGACTGTTTTCTTTTTAACATGTGTGCCTGGGACCCAGCAGCCACCCAGAGCTCCTCATATGCCTTCCCCCGCCCCCGCCCCCCCAAGTCCTAAACCCCACAACCCTGGGTCTCCCCGCAGGCGCGGAAATAATGGTGCTGGGCTTGGGGACGCCAGAAAGAGGTGGTTGAGAGGCTGGCGCTCTTGTCCCCCCGGTTGCCACCTGGAGGGCACTGGCAGCAACCGGGAGAGGGCTTTTTGTTTTTAAAGATTTATTTATTTATTTGAGAGACAGAGAGAGAGAGAGAGAGAGAGACCGAGAGAGAGCGCGAACGCATGCGCACACGAGTGGGGGGAGGGGCAGAAGCGGAGGAAGAGAAATCCTCTCAAGCAGACTCCCTGCTGAGCACAGAGCCCGAGGACATGGGGCTTGATCTCAGGACCCTGAGATCCTGACCTGAGCTGAAAACAAGAGTCTTGACAACCAGCTGTGCCACCCGGGCAGCCCCCCGACCCAAGGAGCGCGATTTAATCACCCTGACTGGGCTGTGCCCCACCTGCTAATAGAGGCTCTGTGTTTGTTTTTGTTTTAAGATTTTATTTATTTATTTCAGAGAGAGAGAGAGAGACAGAGATAGCAACAGAGAGAGTGAGAGAGCATGAGCAGGGAGGAGAGGGAGAAGCAGGCAGGGAGCCAGAGGTGGGGCTCCGTCCCAGGACCCCGGATTCTCCTGAGCCGAAGGCAATCGCTTAACCGACTGAGCCACCAGGTGCCCCTAGAGGCTCTGTGTTAATACAGGGACACCCTCTGGAGACGAGCAGTCCCCTCCCAGCCGGGAGTTCAGGCCTCCAGACCCGTGCTGCTGAAGGGCCGTCTGAGTCCTCGTTAAGCACAAAATAAGGAGACCCTTCGAGTGGACACCAGTCTGCAAGGCAAGGACCACCTGGTCAGGCCACTGTGCCAAAGGAGGAAGGGGACAGCAGGCAGCCAGGGGAGTCTCCAGGGCAAGACCTGGCTCGTTCCATCCTGCTAGTGGCCAGGACAGACAGTGAAGAGTCATGTCCTCCTCTGGCTGGGTGGGTCGCTGAAGGGGTGCTGTCTGCAGTGGGCTCGATGCTCTGGCAGTCTCTCTCTGGGCATCTTCTCTGCCGGGCCGGCGGTATTTGGGACTAGGTAGAGGGTCGTCCAGGTTGTTCTGCAGCACCCCTCTGTGTCCCCAGGTCTTAGAGGAGAGAGGCGTATGTGTGGGGTCAGGACATTGCATGCACAGCACAGGTTTTGCAGCGAGGCAGATGCAGGGTCAAGTACCAGCTCCACCACATCCCACGTGGGTGGCCGCGGGCGGGTGGCTCAGCCCCCCCCCCCCGACGTCTGTTGCCTCACCTGCAAGACGCAACTAAACTCGTCACCATTTCTAGGACCCTGAAAGGACTGACTCGGGAAGTATTTATTGAGCACCTACGACACGCCAGCCTGTGGGCGCACAGTCCAGCTCAGGAGAGGGTCGGCGAACCAGTAAACTGGCAAGTACGGAGGAATGAATCGTGACAAGCGCCACAAAGGGGACAGGGGATGCCGCGAACAAGGGTAAGGAGGACGGGCTTCCCGCTGTGGGGGCCAGGGAAGGCCAAGAGCTAAAGGGTGAGCCGGAGCCCACCAGGCACAGGAGGGGGGGCAGGTGTGGCGGCTCCGTCAGTATGGTGTAGTACACCCCTGCAGCAGAAATGCTGGGCAACATCCACTCCCCCACCCACCCAGGCTCCCAGGAGAGCCGTGTCCTCCGCCCCAGCGTGTGACCTAGCAACCGCCACGTGTGCGGGCCCAGACCCCAAACCTCATCCCACCTCAGGACCAGGGCACCAAATCTTCCTTTTTTTTTTTTTTTAAACTCCCAGCCTGGAGCCCAGCTCGGGGCTTGAACCCACAACCCTGAGATCAAGACCTGAGCTGAGGGGGCACCTGGGTGGCTCAGTCATTTAGCATCTGCCTTCAGCTCAGGTCGTGATCCCAGGGTCCTGGGATCGAGTTCCACATTGGGCTCCCTGCTCAGCCAGGAGCCTGTTTCTCCCTCTGCCTGCTTGTGCTTCTCTCTCTGTGCCAAATAAATGAATAAAATCTTAAAAAAAGAAAAAAGAAGAAGAAGAAGAAGAAGACCTGAGCTGAGATCAAGGCTTGGACGTTTCACCGACTGAGCCACCCAGGTGCCCCAGGGCACCAAACCTTAAACTTCATGACATGTCCCAAAAATGGTTTCCTTTCCTACCAGGAAACCCTCTTTTATTCCAATTTTTCTTTTGGCTGCTCTCACTAGAAACTCAGGCCAAAAGGGAACGGATCATATGACCCGGCTAGGAAGTGATTTCTATCCCGGGGGGGCTCTCCATTCTCCCCTCACTCCCTCCCCCCACACACACATCCACAGATATGCACACACAAGGACCCGCCATAAGAAAAAAACCAGGATGGCTGCCAATCCTAAAGATGCAAAATGACATACCTATCCCCACGTCTGAGCAGCATTACGTGCCTGTTCTTCACCACCGGCGTGCAGCTAACACACACACAGACGAAACGGTTAAAATGTTCGTGATCTGGGTTTACCTGTAAGATATACACACACCCACACAGTCGTATATCCGTCCTGGCCAATGAAACTAGCCAGGGGTTGTCCCATTTAGCAGAAAGGAGCTCCAGTTACTAAGCCAACGACACCGTGACTTGGCTGGGGGGACATGTGATGTGAGCAGTGCCCACCCTCTGAAGGCACTTGGTAACTTTTCGTCTCAGCTGCGCCCACACACCTGAGGGCAGGGACCATGTCATTTATCCTGATCTCCCCGGAACCCCACCCGCTGTCTCTCACACAGCAGGTGCTCAAGCAACATTTGTCGAACGAACGCCCTCCTCATGCCCCAGCCGGGTAGAAAGGGTTCCTGGGGTTCTCTGGCCCTCCCCCCTAATTCTGTCCCTTGGCCTGGAAGCCCCACTCTGTGGCATCCTCACCTGGACCCTGATGGCTCCATGTGGCAAAATTTCAGAACAGGAAAGTAGGGAATGACTATGGATGGCCAAGTTATGCTCTGAGTAAGCACAACATTTAAAGCACGTGCCAGCCCACGTCACAGTCATTTTATAAAATAAGGGACTTCTTAACCCCAAAAGGTGGGAAGGATATAATCACAGAATAGATGGTGGCTCTTTAAAGGGGCTGCTTGCAGCATTTTGAAAAACTCAGAACTCTGTCAGTATTGTCTTCCTTTTCCCGCCTTCGAGGACCAGCATTCAGACAGTGGACTAGGAGGGCTTTCAGGAGGAAGGGGCCCGGCCAGGAAAGGAGGAAGGAAGTGGGGGGCAGGGGCTCACCATCAGAGCAGGACACCCCGGGTTCCCACGCGGAGGCCAAGACCAAGACCAGGAGATGCGGGGGGTCCTGACCAGGAAGCCCACAGGGGAGAAAGCCGAACTCAAGAGCTGGGGCCCAGCCATGCTTGGATAGGATTTCACCCGGAAAGCTGAACAGGAAACTCTTAAAGATTCCCTCTGGACACTGAGATCCTTTCAACTTCTCAGTTAAAGAACCTGAGACAAATTGTGTTCAAGGCTGGCTCTCCGTCAAAACTCTAACTTTATACCGACATGGTCTTCATTTTTCTTGAGCATTTCCTGTGAAACCAGGGCCAAAGCGAACAGGAGACCCCACTTCCTCAGCGCCACCTCCACCACACAAACACACCGCGTGAAAGCAGCACCCAGAAGGAGCCTAAGAAGCCAACCCCCCTCCCCCCCCCCTCCCCCCCCCCTCCCCCATCCACCTCCCAACCACCAGTCCCACCCCCCCCTCCCACCCCCTGTCCCCCTGTCTTCCCACCCCCACCTCCCCCCCATCCCCCCCACCCCCACCTCCCACCCCCTGTCCACCCGTCCTCACTCGCTCGACACCGTCACTGAGCACCTTCCCTGTGCCCAGGCACACACAAGGTTCTCATCCACCAAAGGTCCCCAGCCTGTGGCCCTCTGTCACCAAAGTGGAAGGAAAGAGAATCTGTCCCTGAGGTGTCCGCCCCCTCTTGCGTCTCTCTCCCTGACCTTCCCGCCTGCCTCCTCCGTTTTGGTTCTGAGAGCTGCCAACCAAACCTGAGGACCATGGCTTCAAAGCACAGGGAAGGGTTCACCCCAGGGCCTCAGCTCCGGCCGCACAGGAGAGCTGCCGGGTGGGGGAGTGGGGGTTGCAAACTAGACCCAGGCCTCACCTACAGACCCTGACCTCGCACGTCTGGGTTGGCCCAGCTTCCCTTCTGTGGTTTTAAAGCATCCGGGGGCATTGTACCGCACTGGCCAGTGATAACCTCTGGCCCCGAAGGCCACTTAGGGCCACTTAGGGCTACCGTGTTAACAAATTACCTCCCAAACCTTGTCATCTGGACAGAAGCAGGGATGAACTGCGGGCCTTTCCATGGCTTGGAGCAGAGCTGGGGGATGCTGGAGGGCAGAGGCCTCCTGCCTGAGAAGTCACCTCAACACCCAGGCAGGTGTGCAAGGGAGAAGACACCTGCCCCTCCTTCCGTCCGCACGTCCCTTCCAGGCTCTTCCCTCCCTCCCGCAGGCGTTCAAAGCTACTTGTCCCAACCCGGGAGCTGTCTGAATGGCCAGTGGGGACTGGCCAGCCTCCAAGGGTGCCCCCCCTTGTGCTGGTTGTAAGGGTTACTCAGCGCTTGGTGCAGAAGGCCTTCTGTCCTTCACGTGCGTGCCTTTCCATGCGTGGCGTGTGTGGGTGCGCAGAGCGCCCGCGAGAAGCCGCAGGATTTCTCTTTGAACACTCATCATCATCCCTCCTGCTCTGCTCATCTCAGCTCCTCTTTCTCTGTCCCCCGCTGTGGACACGTGAGCTCCCCACTGGCATGTCAGCTGTGAAAGCCATGTCCCCAGCCTGTCACTGCAATGTCCCGGTGCCTCGCACAGAGGAGTGTAATGCAGAGGAGGTACCCAGTGAACATGTGGGGTGACGGCACACACACGTACCTGCACACGGGCAGGCATCCGCCTCTGCGAGGCATTGCCAACCCCCAGGTCACTCTGGCTGGACCCCTGGGCACAGCCCCCCGCTCCTCCCTCTCCCTCACCACCGCAAGGCAGGCGCTGTCCCTCCCGTGATGGCTACACCCTCCTCCTCCACTGGGCCATGCTCCTAGCTGGGCTTTGGAGCCAGAACACACTGGTTCATCTTAACCTGCTGGAAGATGTGCTTATGCAATCATTTACTAATAATTGCATTCCCCCAAATGATTTGCTTTTTGAATCCAAATTTGAACCAAGTGAGGGTTATGATCCCTCCATGAAAGGCATCCTCCCTCAGGTGCTTCCTATCCAGCAGGCATTCCTGGGGAGCTGAGAGAGCAGGGATACCACGCCACACCTGACCAGGGCGGTGTGGTTCATGAGATGCTCACCTGTCGTGTGGGACCCTCCGCGTATGTCTGTGTCTTTATCTGTAAAGTGAGAGAATAACAGTATCTCCCTGAGAGGGTTGCTGTGTGAAATGAGTGGCTACATATAAAACTTGGAGCAGAGCTTGGTCCATTGTAAGTGCTAGCTATGATCATTACCGTCCTCGTTCAGTGTGTGCACACAGAAGGGGGCTGAGAACAGCCATTCTGCCCTGTAGCGGGTAATGGCTGTAAAGTTACACATCTGGTCACTTCTCTCCCCTTATAATAATCTCTCCATGGCTCCCCAGTGCCCCTGGGCAAAGCCCTTCATGATGTGGTCCCTGCTGACCTTGATAGCATCGCTTTTGCACCACGTAACGCCCCATCCGGCTGCACCTGCCAGCTTCCCTGGAGGGGGCGGTGGTCAGGAAGCACAGCGCTAGCCCTGAGGAGAGCCCATTCCTAAATCCACTCAAAGCGGTAGGTTGAGTTTGCACAGCATCTGATCAGAATCTGCCTCAGGCAGTGTCCTCCGCTTTAAGGGCAAAATGCAAATGATAAACTCTGAAATTAACAGCAACCAAGATTACTTATCAGGTTCAGGAAGCTCTCGTTTCTGTAGCAAAATACTGCCTGATGGTGTCTGCAGCATTTCCCACCGACCAGGGCTCGTGTGTAAGTTACTGCAGGTGCCTTGTCTCTTTCAACATTATTATTTTTTAGAGGGTAAGATAGCAATGTCAGCTCTACCCCGAATGATCAGTCTGCAATTGCACCTACCTGAACTTGGCATTCACGACGGACACAGAAAAACCTTCTAAGGCTCATAAAACCAATCCGAAGGGGCTGGGGAGGGCGGGCGGCGAATACGAGAGAAAACCAGCTTAAGAGCTGAGGAGTAAAATATTATCCTAATTAAGTGTGGGGGAGGAGCTAAGGCGCTAAGGTTAAAGATGCCGGGTTTTTCTTTTCTTTTTTCTTTTTGCAAATTGTGTTCTTGTGTGTTTCACGACGTCTGGTGTGATATATTCTTGGCTTTCAGAGCAAGGGAAGTCATCGGGGTTTCATTTGTTATGTTGATGCCAATAGAAATAAATTTCAGCAGTCATGGAGAAGGCTGCTCACACTCGTCGTCGGGACGCCCGTCTGGGGAATCCGGCTGGTCGCATCCCCAGCGGGCGGGCAGAGCAGATTCAGGGTAAGATACACTTTGGCCTTATTGATCACAAAGCTTCTTCATTACTTCTGCGGGGCTGCAGATCAATAGACAGGCCCACAGAAACATAATAGATTTTTTTAGAAAATCAATTAAACAGAATATTTCTTACAGAATTGAGTTTGCATGGCTGCTCCATCATCTTTGGTGTGCAACGTAACATGGTGGTGAGGCTTCTCTGTAAGGGCTGCCTTCGTGCGACCAAGGGCCAAAGCTTTGTTTAAAAGGTCGAATTTAAAAAAAAAAAAATTTATAATTAAAAAAATTTTTTAATAAAAAATAAAAGGTCGAATTTGAAAGAAGAAAGGATTCTCTGGGAAAAGCAGGAGCCCCCAGCTGAACCCCGAAACCGTGGCCGGGCACGACAGCCTTGCTAGAAAGCGGTGGCCTTGGCGGCCTCACTCATCTGCCAAATGTCATCATCGGGGTGAAATCTGTCAGCGTGCCGCCTCGCGGGCTGAAAACGTGGAACTGAAACTTCTTGGAGAGCTCATACTGTTGTCTGGATTTCCCTCTTCTGAAAGCAGAAGGCAGCTCAGCAGGCGTAAAGGTGAAATATGGCCGGGCGGTGGCTGCCCAGATGGGCCAGCAACGCGCGCTCGCCTCTCTTCCCCAAGGACTTGGAGGAGCAGCTGGGGGCTCAGGGACGCTGGGCTCAGGGAGGCCGCGAGAGCCTGGAGCCTCCGCCAACTGGCCGCACACACTGGGACTCTGGTTTTTTGGGTTTGGGGAGTTTTGTTTAGTTCGCAAATACACAAGCAGATTCCCACCCTGCCACTTGTGGACGGGCCGTGGCTCCCCCAATCCTGATCTCAGCAGACGGGGGCTGGCACCACGCACGCTCCCCCGCACCTCAGCCTTCCTGCCTCTGTCTTCCTGATCTGGCATGCTCCTACATGACATCGATTAAAAACAAAAAAAAAAATTCTCCTCGCTCGGCTGGCACCTCCACGAGGCAGGACTCACACGGTGGCGTGGGCAGGAGCCCAGCGGGGCGGCCGGGCTGCAAGTGCTCCGGCACCACGGAACAGAAGGAATGATATGTTCCCGGCGGTACGTAATAAATAACAAAGCTGCAATTCCACAGAGGAGCCTGGTGATGACATTTAAAAATCTCCCTCAGCTTTGTTCTTGTGGTTCACGTCATCAGAACACCAGGATGCGATCTCAGCCTGAATTTATGTCCATTTTGGGGCGGGGTGGGGGGGTGGGTTACTTCACATCATTTTCTTTCATCTGTCTCTTGTCTCGGGCTTGTCTTTCGGGAACCCGGGCGTTCCGTCTGGGCCTCTCCTCCTTTGCGTTCCACTGGAGGGCGGCTGGAACCGTATGCGGAGTACCTAGATTGTCCGCCTCCCTAAAGGGGCATGATGCGCTGGCTCTGAGATTCCGAACTGAATCAAGAAAGCTGGAGTAAAGTATGAAGCCCCCATGCCTTTCGGCAGGGTCGAAGGAGAACCAGGAAGAGAACCAGGTCCAAGCTAATCTCAAGCAGCAGGCTGACTCTGCCGGGGACCAGGGTCTGCCTGAAGATGGAGATGCTGTTCTCTGTAAGGCTGAGTGTCTGCCTCTCTGGTTCCCTTGCCTCCCTGTCCCTACGGAGAACAGGGCTGGGTGGGATCCAAGGGGGCCAGAGCAGCATGCCCTGTCGAGGGCTTAGGGAAAGGGAGGCGTCGGAAGGCAGGGTAAACATTGAGGGCCAAATGGAAGGTTTTCTTATCCAGTGATTTGGGGGAAAGGCCTTCTCAGGGCAGGTTTCTGTCCTGTTAGATTTCATGGTACCTAATAAGTGTCTCAGCCAAATGGTGAATGACCATCCAAGGATCATCTTGACACCTCCCATATGTAGTTGTTCAGAAATTCAACTTGGATCCACAACAGACACTGAATTCCAAGACTTCACGCAAACAGTGAAGGCAAAACAATGGCATCACCACGATAAAAAAAACATGGAAAGGAGGAAATCCACTTCTGTCATCTGCTGGCACATTTTTACTCGGAGAGCCATAACTCCAAATTCTTGCCTCTCAGAGATGCACCCAGCAGGACCTGAGCTGGTTTCATCACTGTTCGCCGAGGCCTGCCACGTGCTGGGCTGTCTTCCTGGGCAGTGTCTAATTACCAGCAAAAGTGCCTGCCCTCAAGGAACCTGCCTTCTGTGGGTGAGACAGATACTAAACCAACACGTGCAGGTGTGATAGAAAGTCCGGAAGCACAGGGATTGTCTGTGTGTTCGTTGCTGAATCATGGATCAGAGTGCTGAGTATGTTACGTACGTCAGGCGGCAAATACTACACACCATGAAGAACGCTTCCTCAGAATAAATCATAAAGGTCCTACAGGGGCTGAGCTCAAATATCCTTGACCCTGGAGTGGGATGGACATAGCCCTGCAAACAGCCCCACACTTGCCCTTCACATACCATTCAATCAATCAAGCCGGTGGACCATCCACACCTAAACAGGTGCGCACACGCACACAAACACACACACACACATCCCTGACTTGTGTCAAAATACAATCTCCATCCCCCTCAACACCTATGACAAAACCTGTCCTCCACAAGCATTTTCAGCAACGTCAGGCCTCTGGCTTCGATTCACACGCAGAGTGAGTGATGTTTTAACCCCCACGCCTTGCGACAAAATGATTTTTGGTAATTGTGGTAGGCTGAAAAACAGCCCCCCAATATACCCTAATCCCTAGAATCTGTAAATGTTACCTTAAATGGCAAGAGGGGGTTTGCAAATGTGATTAAGTCAAGGATCTTGCGACAATGGGGAGATTATCCTGGATCATCCAGGTGAGCCCTAAAAGTAATTGCCTGGGTCCTTCTAAGAGGGAGGCAGACCCAGATTTGAGAGAGGAGACTATAAGAACAAAGTAAAGTGCTTTGAAGATGCAGGAAGGGGCCAAGGCATGCAGCAGCCCCTAGAAACTGGGAAAAAGGTTAAGGCAAGGGGCCCTCCTCTGAAGCCTCTGCAAGGGAGCTCAGCCCAGCTAACATCTGGTTTTGACCAGGTGAGAACGCCCACTTCAGACTCAGCTTCCAGAGCCCTAAGATAACAGGTGTGTATTGTAGTAAGCCACGAGATATTGGGCAATTTGTTAAAGCAGCTGCAGGAAACTCATACAGGAATAAAATATGTACTAGTCATTCTTTTCCTGATTTGTGATTTAAAACAATTGTTTTAAAAGAAGAATAAATTTTCACCTTAAAAAGATCATTCACATTCAGTACAGTATCTCACGTGTGAACTGAAACGGGTACTTGCCAAACGTAAATAACTTCTCGTCACAGTTCATACTGTGTTACTGTTTTATTTTTTTTAAGATTTTATTTATTTATTTGACAGAGAGAGAGCGAGAGAGAGCATAAGCAGGGGGAGCGGCAAAGGCAGAGGAAGAGAGAGAAGCAGGCTCCTCACTGAGCAGAGAGCCCTTCACTGGGCTCGATCCCAGGACCCTGGGATCATGACCTGAGCCGAAGGCAGACGCTTCGCCAACTGAGCCACCCAGGTGCCCCTGTGTCACTGTTTTAAATTTTAAACACAAACAAAAACCATACGGAGTCACACAGAAGGACTGAGTCAAGTCAGTTCTGAGTCAAGTTCTGTCTCATCGTCCCTGCAAACCCAGGGCCGCCATGGTTTATTCCAAACTTGCTGTTCAAATGCTGTATGAAGCCATTCTGGGGAGGGGGGCTGGACCCACAAACTGCCCCTAGAACCATCGTGAATGATGCGGGACCCTTAGGAACCACAGCTACCTCCCCAAATGAACCCAAGTGGCCGTCCCTGTGCTGGCAGCCAGCAGCACAACGGGGGTTTTCCAAACTGACTCCCACAAAGAATGCGAGGTTTATCAAAGGTTAAGTAATAAAAACGTGCTAATTTGAAGCTTACATACATGTTATTAAAATCCAACAGCAAACAGCATTTTTTGTTTAGAACTCAGACCAACAAAAACATTTTTCAGGGACATTGTTGGGAATTGCGAGTGCATGATGTTGACAAAAAGCAGGCCCCCCCCCAAAAAAAAGGCAGACTAGAAAGCAGACCAACTTTTGCTGGTTTTATTGTTGTTTTTAAATTCCTACAGATGCTGCATGTCCTCATTGGCCACACGTGGAACAGACTGTTCCCACCACCTGCCCTGGATCCCACACTATTGCTCACCGTCCAGGAAAAGGGAAAGCCAAGCCTTCCTTGGACAACCCAGTTCCCCCCACCCACCCCATTCCAGGGGGCTGAGCCATACACCCAGGGTACTGTGTGGTCTCAGAAAGAGCCTGAGGGCAGAGGACCCGGGGAGAAGGTCCACAAAACACCCCGAAACCCTCACTGACAATGGGGCAGAAGGAGGCTTCCCACTGTGATAAGGCTTGCAAGGGATTTGCAGGTAAGACCAACCTTGAGAGAACTGGCCTATGTACCAACTGGATCCCCTGTTCAGCCTCATCTCTGATTTGGGAAACTTCTGTCCTGGACCACCCCAGCCCCACCGAGCCTGGCCTCCCAGAGAGCCCTGCACAGCCCTCCCCAGCCCCTCGAAGCTCCCTACACTGGCCTTACCCCAGAGGGACACTGTCAATCAGGAACTCCCCCACACGGCTGGCCCGTGACTGTTACCACCCCCAGCGTGACTGGTCCTGCAAATTGGGAGGATCTGGAAGTCTCTGGGCATGTGGTGTGCCCCGCTGGTGAAGGGATGGGCTCATGGGGAAGCAGAAGAGAAGCAGAGGGAGGAAGGAAGGGGCCTGGATCTCAGCCACCCTGCCCAGCTCTTGCAGCCAGCCCCCCACCTGGTCACTGCCTCCGGAGCTGACATGGTGGTGAGTCCCTGGTCACCACGCCCCCGCACCCCCGTCTCCCCTGATGCCCCTGGGGTACAGGTAGCTCCTTGTGACCTGTGGGCTTTGGAGTCGGCAGACCTGGATTCAAATGCTGCCTCTCTCGGGCTGTCTGCCCAGGCAAGGCCTCCCCCGTAACTGGGACTGGAATGCTCAGAGCTGCTGAGAGCGTGCGACTGGAAGGGTTCAGAGGGGGCACCTGGCCTCGCCTTCCCCTTTCCTCCTCCTGACCAAATTTTTATCAGGACACCCAAATGGTAGGGCTCGGTGTCATTCATCACGAGCCCCTGTTCCCTGCCGCTACAACAGGGAAAGGTCTTGCTTGCCCCTCAGAAGCAGCTTTGACTGTTTTAACGGGAGCCTTTTGGAGACACAATGATGGTCTCGGGCAGTGCCAATCGAGGAGGCGATTGAGGGCTTTAGGGCGCCACTCAAGGTGGCCGTGGGGCAGGCGGCTCACGCTGAGTTGTGCTGGAGTGGGAGCAGGGGAGGAGAGGGGAGGGGTGAGCAGGGGAGGGGCGCCGAGAGAGGCAGTTCCCACCCCGTCAGTATGCAAATCACTCGCCGCCGAGATAAACGATCCGGCAGGAAGGCCGGCAGGGTGCCCAGCGGGAGCCATTTGTCATTTCTACTCCCTACGAGTGAGCAAGCCAAGCCCGCGAGAGCTTCCCCGGCCCTCCCTCCAACCCAGGTAGCTCAGCCCGGGCCCAGGTGTCCAGAACGAATAGACGCATCTCCCTGACCTCCACCTCCCACATCGGAACAGGGAGGGGCAGGGGCTCGCCTGGTACAGCCCTGGCCTCGGGTTATCTAGTGCCCCGCTTGGGAAAATGCTCCTCCGAGGCCAGAGGAGAGGACCCTTTGTCTCTTGGAAGGACAATGTGAAACTGTGAAACCGCAAACCTTTTTCTTTCGGCAGCCAGCTCTCCAGCTAATTGACAAGTGCGCGTCCTATGCATGAGCTGCTAAGATTTTCCACGACGTCAGCAGAGCCCAACAATATCTGGGGTTCACCCGGCAGGCCTGGCACTGAGTAGAGAAAGTGTGGGGCCGGGTTGTGTTCCAGCAAGAATTTGAGTAATGCTTGGAGCCACAGCCCCGTTCACAAACGGTTGATGAAGGAATAGACTGATCAGTCAATCCTGGAGATTTTGAAATTGCCAGAAATCCAATCCAAGACTGAGAACATCACAACTGGGCAAGACTCAAAATGCCATCTGGGAGCAAACACCAGGCCATTAATGATTTTCAAAGCAAGAAGACAGCTGTCACTACCATGGACGCTGCTTCGCCACCAACAGCCTTCTGGTGCTGGAACCCCATCTCCCATAGTGGTGACGGGCTGGGCGGGTGCGTCCTGCCCCTTCTAAGAGCTCAGAGCCTGGTCCATGGTCGGGGGTGGGGGTCAATGAATATTTGCTGAATGAATGAATGAGCAACAGAGAGAGCCCCTCATGGGGCCACAGAGCACAGATTTAATTCTGGAAAGGAATAAAGCTCTTTGGCACAATCAGGGACAGAACCCACAACCTTTGTGTTTAAAACAGATGGCCCTACTTTGGCCTTTTATGCACTTGTTCACTCATTCACCCATTCAGGGCATATTTATTAAGCACCCACGGTGTGCTCAGCACTGGATGAGGCTGACCCGTACTAGGTTGGGGTTGCCAAGGGGGGACTTATTAACGCGTGCGGTGGGCTCTCTGCTGTCAGTGGCTGGTCATTGCTAGGGGTTCTCACGAACAAAAGGCCCGAAGCTCTTGGTGAACCCAGGATATTGCTGGGTTCTGCTGATGTCATGGAAAACCTCAGCAGCTCACACACAGGACATGCACTCGTCAATTTGCTGTGAGTTCACACGCCAAGAGAGAGGTTTGCTGTTTCGCGTTGCTGGTCTAGCCTTGGCCAATAACCCCCATTAATGCCTGGCCACACCTTCAGCGGAGGCCCTCCTTCTCCTGGTGGGAAAAGGCTGGAGGGGCTTGTCACCTCTCATATGAAGGCCCTGTCAGAACACTCTGAGGTCACCTCTACCCACAGCCCCCTTAACACCAAAATTTGGGAACATTTCAGAAATGCAGATGCGATTCAGTACCGTTCAATGACACCTAGTACTGAAGATCCAAGGATGAAAAAGACCTGGGCCCTTTTCTTCAGGGACAGGCAATCCGGAGAAGACAGATGCACCATGTCTATAATGCGTGATAAGACTGTGGGGAGGAGCCAGCAAAGGACACTGATCGCAGGTCACATCCACTGAGCGCGTGCTCGGCACTGGAGCCCGCACGAACGATTTTGTGGCAGGCCTTCATCATCCTCAGAGCCCCAGGAAGCAGCGCTTGCCTCCATTTCGCAGATGAGCAAGTTGAGACTCAGGAGGCCAAGCTACTTGCCCCGGGTCATGCAGATAGGGAGCCCCGTGGACTTGAACTGAACTTAGCTGCCTGCCAAACCAGATGGTTCCCCTGACCCAGGTTGGGACCTGGCAGGGCAGGCAAGCCGTTGTCCGACGGGGCAGGAAAAGGTGTCTGTGGATAAAGAAGGTGACTAAAGCCTCACGAGTGGGGTCCATGATCTCCGGGACACCCGGGGAGCCTCAGAAGTGGCCAACGGTCTAGGGGACAGTTGAGGAATCAGGGAGGAAGGAGAAAGGAGGAGGGGAGCAGTTCTTGGGGACAGTGAGTCCTTGCTGTGCTGTGGGCAGAGAGGGGAGCAGGGAGAGCAGAAGGAGAGCCTGGGATGGAGGAGGCCAGGGGTTGCCACGATCGCCAGACCAGGGAGGTGAGGTGGCAGACCACAAAGCTCCTGGCCGAGCATGATGGACATAGAAGGTAAGCAGGGTCAGGGGCTTCCTCAGAGGAAGAGCTGGGACCTGGGGAGCCCACAGGGAAGATTGTCAGTCTGGAACGTTCCATGGGAGGGCGCTGTCTGGGGGTCTCTTTCCAGCGGTGGGGGGGTGAGGAGCAGAGAGGAGCAGGGGAAGTCCTAGGAGGCCTCCTGGAAGAGGCATGGTACACCTTGTCGTCAGGGAGATCCAGGTTTCCGTGAATTCAAGGGAGAGGACCGATGGGACTTCCAGGAAACCGAAGGAGGCGGCAGGAACTGGCCAGCTCAGAATGAAAGGAGCCAGGAAGGGACTGGCGGGAGGACCTGGTGGAAGCAAGCTCAGGATCAAAATGAGACCACCGTATCTGCTCCCAGACATCAGGCACTGCGTGCGCTGTGTGGAACCCGCCCTTCGGCGCGCGCCCCAGACCTGGCATGCCCCACAGGCCCGCACACCCTGCCTGGCCCCGCACTAGTCGCCAGGGGGCCCAGCAGGGAAAAGGAGAGCCAGTCAGCACTCTCTTGGAGCAAATCAACGTGATGCTCTGGTAGCAACAATGAAGGAAAATCGGTGGGGTACGGGAGGGTGGTGGATGCAAAGTCGGGGGGGCGGGTGTAGAAATTGCATTCCAGGAACTGCAGAAAGTCTCCCTTTCTCCCGAGGGCTCACTCTTCTGAGAGGTTAGCTTTCCTGAGTCTCCTTCCACCTCTCCTGGAGGCAGGTGCAGCCTCTCCCCCAGGGCAGCCCCATCCCAGGGAGCTCTCGGCAAGGTGAAGGGGGTAAAAGGGCACAGCCGGTTTTGAGTGTTGCTCTTGCTTGCTGAGGATATTTGTCCCGGCTGCCACTCAGGAAGTCGGGGGGGGGGGGGCGTCTCCTCCTACCTCCTCCCCAGCCCAGCCCAGCCGCAGAGTCTGACCCCCTGGGTTTTATCTGAGCCTACCCCCAGCAGGTAGCAGCAGGGCCCAGCAGGGCGACCTGAATCCCACTGAGAACTCAGTCTCTGATCCTGCCTCCCCCTCGCTGCGGCTTTGGCAAAAAAGCAACCTCGGGAAGCAAAGTTCCTTCTCATTTCCAAGTTTAAAGAGGTACAGAGACAGGACAGTTCTCTCAAGAATCCTGACCTAAGAGGGGGCTAGATGCTAGGGCAGGGGGCCAGCCAGGCAGTGCTGAATACAGGGGCCTCTCCAGCGACCTGCTCCGCCACCACCTTCCCAGCTGGGGTAGCGCAGTGCTCGGAGAGGTTAAGTAGCCTGCCCGAGGTCACACAGCTCCTGAGCGCATACCCGCATACCCCGGGGCTAATGGCTTTCAAAGTCGTCGGTGTTTCCTGTTTAACTTTGCAGAGCGTTCTACTATCTTTATCGGGCAAGGTCCTCCCCACTCAGGCACCTTCCCTGAATCCACCCAACAGGGCTCTCCTGTCGGCCTCCCAAGGCCTGAAGCTTTAGGGGTTGATGGTCTGTCCCCCAGTGCGAGGAGTCTCTGCCTCTGGGGTTAGGAAGTGGGGGGCTATGGATGGGTTGCAGGGAAGGAGTCAAGGAGCTTTCTGGCTGGAAGTGTTGAGACCAGTAGGGAGGACATACACCCTTGTGAAGTCTGAGCTCCTCCCTCCCTCTTGTCTGGCCCCTCTCCCCCTCCGCACCCTACTTCCTGAGAGCCTGAGGTCTCCCACTGGGAACTTGGGAACCTGTCACTTCCCCATGCCCCCACTGGCCTTCCTTCTCCAGGCCCCAAAGCTGATTTCTGCTCCTGCCTCCCCCTCCCAGGGTCCCCAGATCTCCCAGCGATCTCCTGAGCCCCTAATTGCTGGGTGGAGCTAGATGTTCTGTTTTCACCTCCACGGAAATCGGGCTGTTGGCACCTGCCCAGAACTGTCCTCATGGTGACAGGGCCTGGCCTTCTTCCGCATTGAAGGTGCAGACCTGCAGGGGCCAGAAGCTGGGGGAGCAGATTCCTTGGCAGGGGGTTGGGCCCCTGGCATCCCCCTCCCCAGGAGCAGCCCCAGCTGAGAGCCTTTCTGCTTGTGTTTTGCCGGCCTAAGCCTAGAAAAATCCACCCAAGGCCAAAGTATCTGAGGGCCACTGAGCCTCCACGCATCCACCAAGGAGTCGCTGTGGCTGATGACAGGCATTATCCTGAGCAGGAGTCGCCAGCGAGTCCCCAGAGCCCAGAAGGGAGCCAGAGACCACACATGGCATTTTATAAAAGGAAGGCTCTAGACCCAGGGTGGGAGACCCAGTTTGGAGGCTTCTCCACCCCCAGCCCCCTTCCTGGAGCAAAGGGAGATCCTGGGTCAAGAGTTAAGTCCCCTGCCTTGCCTCAGTCTCTCCTTTTGTCAAATAAACAGTCCTAAGGCCCAGAATTAATGAAAAATTTGAAATACTGCCATTTCCTAGTCCCCGGATTTGAACCCTCCCAGCCCCGGATCCTCTGCTAGAGAAAAGGCCTGCTAGGCTCGCTCCTCCCCATCTCCATCCTCCCCTCCCCCTCCTTGCATCCTCCTTCCATTCTCCCCCTCCTCCCCAATCCCTCCTCCCCTCCCCCTTCCTTCCATCCTCCCTCCCTCCCTCGTCCCCAATCCCTCCTCCCCTCCCCCTCCCCCCTTCCCCCCAAGTCTCACTCTGCTCTCTGGGCCTCCTGA